ACACACACACTACGCGCGCTGTTAGTATATCATTTATATATTCTCCTTCCCTTAAAAAAAACCGTTTTCCAGGAGTTTGTCTCTCACTGATATCAGACAATCGACGTATATATCACCCTTCGTTTCGAAACCCGGATATCGCTCGACGAAAGTTCCTGGTGTACCCGATCGACGCGACGGTTAACGGGCGGGTGTGCGTAGCAGGTGGTGCGTATATATACCAACATCGAGAGAAATGAAGTACAATACAGATATGTATCTAGATAAACGACTTATAAATGCAGAAATATAACCAGAAATGGAAGATGATAAGTAAAAAGAGTTTTAATAAAATAATAGATGAGAAAGAACGATTTTATAATAAAATTGTTAATTTCCGCGAAAGTTTTTATCTATTCAGTCTGCAACATTTTGCGAGATATAAATCATTAAAAACTTGTATATTGACTTGTTTATTTTAAGTTTCCTTAAAGTGTAACTTTTTACGCGTGAGCGATCTTACAAAGAAACGCACAGACAACTGTGAGAAAAAATCGAGCAACTTCTGCTCACGTTATGCTCAGACATTCAAGCAGGTATGTGCGTAAAGATAAAGATTGTATCAATTTTTTTCTGTCTTAGTGAGGAAAGAGAAAGAAGAAAAAAAAAACACACGTATCACGAGAGCGAAATGAATGATACGGCGGAATAGCTACATCCCCGACTTAAGAGTCTTAATCGGATGAAAAGATCAACATGCTGGACAAGCTTCCCGGCTTTACTTAGCTTCTAGTCATGTAACACACAACATAACGTAGGATACAAAGCACCTAATTTAATTGTTCAGATACCTACTTGTGACCACGAGAGAGTTACTCACGCGCGTGGAAGAAGCTGCGTCGAAAAAAAATTCAAGAACGCAGGCGATTCTTCGTCCTTTTGTTCAATTTAACTTCCTTTCACAATTTTTAAATAAATATTGTCTCTCGCGAACAATAAAAAAATTTCATTATCAATAATATTGTAGTAAGTTGTATTTTTTAATTTTTTTTTTGTACGGACTTTTTGATACGCAACAAAGAAATATTCGAGACTTTTCAAGTTATTAAATAAAAATTACAAAACAAACAAATACATATCAATGATTTGTGGATCATCTAATTGAAAGACGATATAAAAATATAATCGCTCGACATAAAGTTTTTTTTTATACAACATAAAGTGCACTTTTTCGCGCAACGCGTCGCTAAGCACAGATTAAAACAAAGCGAACTGCTAAATTGTTATATTTCCTCTTGGTAAGTCACGATTACATCTGTGCGGCGTTGGCATGAGCGGAGAGAGGAGGAGGGAGAATGAACAAGAGAGACGTACTACGCGCGTCCACAAGGGGGACTAGGGGACTTTTAAAATATAATTACGGGAAACCAAGGTTTTTAGAGAGCACCGAAGTGAGAGGAAAAAAAGCGAGAAGAGACGCGAGAAGACCGAGGAACAAGCTCGAGCCACAGAGCAGAAGAGAGACGAGAAGAGATGCCCGGAGAAGCAATGCTAATTCCTGGCTCGAGAGTCAGTCGGGAGCCTCCGAGAGGTTTCTCACCTTCTACGGTTTCCCTCTTCGTCCGTCGGGGATAACTGCTTGGCACACAACGCTGAGTAATCCGCCCCGACTCTCGGCTCAAACGCGACCGGTTAATTTTTCAAGGTGCTATTGTCTCTCTCGCCTCGTTTTATTTATTTATTTTTCTGCTTTAATAAAGCAGAGATATTTAATACTTGGAAAATACAAGTTGTTTTTAAATTGTTTGTTGTTTATTGAACGCGGATTAACGAGATAAAAACTTGCATTCTACAATTGCAGTAGAGATAACGAAGAAGTTGATGTCAAATTGATCCATCTCGACGGTTTATACGTCGATTGATAAATGTATACTTGTTTAACTTTAAACACACACACGTATTGGCGTGTAATATTCGCAAAGAAGACAGGAGTTCACACAGAAATCGCGCGACACCTATTGGACGTTGTGAGAAACGTGCAATACTTAGCTGATAACCAACGTTCAGATATCAAATTATGTATCAAAAGTAAAATGTTTCACATTGTCTCTTAGGAATTGGTATTTTTTGAATCCTATATAAAAAATTGATTATTTAAGAAAACCAAAATTTTGATATATCGAGAAATGTGTTAAAATGCGCATCAACGAATTTTATGAAGCGCGCGCGCGTGTAACGCAGGATATGGATTTTATTTGCCGGAAGCAAGTTTCTTTTTCTTTTTTTTTTTTTTTTTTTTGTATATTAAGTTCATACGCCTCTCAACGTTCAAAGTAAAAGGCAATGTTGAGAGATTGGCGCAACAGTCGAGTGCCTCCTATCTGTGCGCGGTCTGCAGCGGTTTGTCATTTATTGAACAGTTACGATCGCAATGCNTTTTTTTTTTTTTTTTTTTTGTATATTAAGCACATACGCCTCTCACAATAATACTGAAATCGCAATGTTGAGAGATTGGCGCAACAGTCGAGTGCCTCCTATCTGTGCGCGGTCTGCAGCGGTTTGTCATTTATTGAACAGTTACGATCGCAATGCGAGAAATGCTGCATTCATCCATCCTGGCGAAGCAGAACGACCGTTACATCGTAAGGCCGATCGCACACAAATTTAAGTGCTTCACAAGCATTAACATAAAAATAATCTTGACTAATGAAAACGCACGAAAAAAAATAAAAACGCTCAAATTCTGCGCAATGTGATTTTTACACGTTTAAAAGTCTTCCGTTCGACATGACGTTCCATCTACTCTGTGTACTGTCTATCTACTGTTATGTCAATTGATGCGCCTTTTTGATTGATGCCTTTGATGTCCTCCGCCAGACAACTCTCTTCTGCATCAACGATCAGAGAAAGAGAGAGAAAAGAGCACGGAGCGTCTCTAATATACCCCTCTTTCGGAAAGTTGTTGCGTATTTCTCGATATACAGCGTTTTCCGTCGCTCGAGTGAAATGTACTCATTTAGAACGGATTGCGCCAATCGTCAATTAATGCTAATCGTGGTTAATTTTCCTTGTACACGTTACATACGCGGTTGGATCTACCGCAGCGAGTCAGAGAGGAAGATAATCGAAAACTAAGTCTAATTTTCAAATCTAATTTCGACCCTCTGTTTTATTTATTTTTTTTTTTAGATTTGACAGTTCATCCGAATTAATTTTTCTCGCGTTATATGTCAATCAAAATTATTATTTTTCACAATAATACACATAAACTATTCAACATAAAGTTAAAAAAACTCAAAAGAACGTCATAAAAATAACTGAAAAAACAGAAATAATTACATTAAAAAAAAATAATATAAATTGTATTTAGAAACTTTAAAAATTTGTCTATACACGTTCGAAAATTTGAAGATGAGACTCGAGACGGTTCATCATTCGGCGCGTTATGTGATTTAGCGTGATTGACGGAAGTTATCAATACCGTAATGTTCGGCTACCAACCGGAAGTAAGATCCACGTGTATCGTGCATCGCGGAGTCGTTCGGAGAGAAGGAGAAAAGAGACATGGGAGGGCTTTATACTTTCTTAGCAAGAGAGTGATTCAATAAATCGATCACGTAAAAGAAACGTATACGCAACGGTTTTTTTTGCATATTTATGCGCGGACATTAGTTAGTTTAAATGAATGCAATGACGATCTCTAAATTGGCGTTCATTTGAATTTCGTTAATTACGCGTGATTTCTTTTTGAGAAAAACTTGTCACAATTTAAAACTTCCAAAATCAAAAATTCCAAAAAATTGTACAAAAATCGATTTTACTTTCGCAAAACCAACTCTGCCGAACAAATTTACCATAAAAAATGCAAACGAATATATTTCGTTAAAAATATAAATCAATAAAACTTTTAATCAATTATAATACTAATAATTGAGTCTTGATCATTGCAGGAAGAAACGTGTGAGTCAACATTTCTACGAAGATGACCTCTAATCCTATATTGTATAAAGCTTGTATAGTATATGGGATAATATCAGAGAGCCATATAGATCGAAGCATAAGTACTATAATTTCGCGCTTCTCGACAAAAAGTCCACGAGTAACAATTTCGGAAAAAAGTGCAATTGTAAACGCATCTGTTTCTTCAAACTTATCTCCCATCATACGTGTGTATGTTCCAGTCACTCGCGCGACTTTTACCGCATATTTTAACTAAATAAATTTCGATACAACAGATATTGTATATGAAAAGTCGTCAATGTTATCGTCCTTTTCTCTCTCCTTCTCTCGATGAGAAAGCTCAATAAAAGCAGCGGGCGGTGATCACGATCTCACCGCATGTAAAATCACCTCGGCGGTCCTCGTGATTGTATTAATTCACTTGACGGAATACAGAATACAGGACGCAAAGTGTATACAGATGCCACGAGAGTTCGCGTGTGTGGATGTGTATTGTCTTCTCGGCTCCTTTCTCGCATTAGCATAAGAATTCAGCGTGTGCCTGATGCGCCTATCAATCGGATATTCTCTCTTCCCTTCCCGGTGAATCAAGACTTAAATCTTGCACCATGATTAGCCGGCAGTCCGAATGTCGAAACCTCGTCATCATTGATCGAAATCTGAAACACGTCGGCCTGGAAAACCAACGCCTATTGAAATGGCGCCGACAATTTGAGAAGAGAACGAGTGCTGTGCGATACGAAAAGCTTGAAAGGACAAGATATATCCTATAATTTTGCTATATTTATGTCGCACCCTTTAAACGACAATATTAATTCCAATCTTTCATAAAAAAAAAAGATAAAATAAAATATTAATTATTTTTCTCTTGCCTTGTGCGATCGCGATGCGATTATTTTGAAAATCTTTTCGATGTAGTTTTTATCGCTCTTTTTTTTTTTTTTTTTTCCAAAAAACACGTTTAACGCGAAACGTCTGTAAAATGTTGTCCAAGACAAATCGGACATTTAAACTGAATTGTGTCGACTAACGTGACTTTTTCTGCACCAATGCAAGTCTCCTCTTTAATACAGACTGACAAACATTCATTTGATCATGTGCGTTCCGAGTTTGAGAATCGAGGAGAAGACACCGAGTCGTTTCGGCGCGAATGTGCGCCGCGAAGTAAGAAGGATCGACGATCCGGTGGCTCCAGTCCCAAGAACAGAAATTGTTACGTGCTCGCTCCGGCAGCGTGATCCGAATGCTCATGCGAGTGACGATCGGTCATCCAGAGCCGAGAAGAGGAGAGACTCCGAGAGTCCCGTAGCGTTACTCAAGCGCGAAGAAGCTTTCTTCGATGGACGGATACACGCGTACGTAGACACCGAAGAACAGTGCCGTACGAAAAACTCACAAACGACATATCTTATCGTTGCGCGTGTATGTGTTAATAATAATTAAAATATCTCAATTCACTCGAAATCGTAAGACCGACCTATTTCCGTTTTTTTTTCAAAATGTATTTTATATACAAATTATATTATTAAATGACATTTAAATAATGAGTCAAATAATAATTCAGTAATAACTTATTGATCGCGTCTGTGTGGAAGTCAGCTAGTTCTAAGCTAAAAACATCTCGTGACCACGAAATTAACCTAATTGCGATCAGATAATAAATTTATTACCACGGCAATGATAATGAGACAATAAAATCAACAGTCTCGATAGAGAGAAGAAATGTTAAAAAAAACAACAAGAAACATTAAGTATCTAATGTTTCATCATATTCTGATTTTTTGTTAAAATCTCTCTTCTTAAACAACCGTTATCGTGGAAATTGTTCTCGCAAGATGTATTCTCGTGAAAATTTCTAATCTCAGGAGGAAAAGAGAGGAACCTTGGATTTCATCGTGTTTCGAAGAGGGAGGAGAAGAGGGGGCGAAAGTGACGCGGCTGCCACGACGCTGCGCACGTTAAAAGGCGAATGTCCGTCCATGCGGAAGCGGAGAGACCCACGGTACTGCATTTATCCCTCGATCACCTCTCACTCGCAGGACACGTACGTCGTCGTGTCCCCGTACACGTCCTCGGTGTATCGTTTTCATGGTATGTGTCGACACACCAAAAGACGACGGCGTCGTGTACGCATTTTGTCCCGCTCAGGATCGAGCTGCGCGCGGCTATCAAACGTGCGGAGCGTGTGATACCGAAACGATCGGCCGATCGATGTCAAAAGAATCTGCGCGGTGGTATCGAGGGCAGCTTTTGCGAGGAATTTTAAGAGCAGATCGATCGTGATCTCCGACCGCGCCCGATTGTTCACAAGCGCGTCCGCGTTCTGTCAAACTGTTTTTTTTTTTTTTTTTCCAGAAAAATCGAGAAAGAATAAATTTTTCGACTCATTCGGTTGTCAAAAATAAAATTACAAATAAAACATTATAAATTAAAACATAATCGCATTCCAACAACATGTTAATCACAAATATTGCAAATTATATAATTGTTTATCAATTACTTTTCTTCTTTCTTAAAATTGATACTAAAAACTTTTTGCGGCCAAAATAATATTTAATAATTTTTTGCTATTTATACTTTTGTTCTTACGTTTATACGCGGAATTATAATTAATTTTAATTCCGCGACAAAGAGAAGAGAGAGTTCAGGATACGCGAGATGTCACGAGCAACATCCTTTTTTTGTTCAATGCCTGGATATTTAATTCTGAGCGTTCTACTCACCAAACACATCGGCGGACGTTTTTATGAATGCGGCTGACGTCGTTCCGCGGGTTAGACCACCGAATATGGATGATGACCGAAGATGAGAGCGCTGAGTCTGCTTATCGAATAAGGACGTGACGTATCCGAAGTTTCACCTATAAGGCAAACGAATTCGCTGTTAATAGTCAATATATATCATTAAACAAACAATGAGCGGATCTTCAGCCGCACACGGCTGACGAGAAAAACCTGACGCTATATTTACAACTATGCATAGTATTGAAAAAAAAATTCTAAACTCTTTAAACTCCAAATCTCTTAAAATCTTTATGTAGAAATAATAATATATAGAAATATATAAATTATATTTAAAAATTTACAATTTATTTGCATGTAATTTTTATTGATTTGATTTAAAACCCCGCTTGTCACATTCACACACACATACAACATCTGGGGATGATATGTTTGAAGTTAGATTAATTATTGCGCGTATCTGTGTTTTCTTTTATTTTGATTAACATTTCAGACAAATTATGGATGACACGTGTATAACAATTTATAACCAAGTAGGTGATAAATAATAATATAAAAATTGAGATTTTTGAGAAATTCGCGATAGCACATAATCGAGTTGATCATGATTTTCGACTCGGAAACCTCGACCTCAGATATGAAAATCAACGATAGTGATAATTTAAAAAAATCCAAGGTACACGCACGTTTGATCGATTTTTGCCCCCATCTTTAATACAATAACTAATCTCAATTAATCAATCAATTTTTCAAAAACATTGTACAAAGAGTACAAAAAAAAAATGAAATGTTAATTATATTATTTAATTATTACTTTTTTTTACGTGTATTTGTTTCAGAACAAACAAACTCTATATATACTCATAATGTGTTTTGCAACAAACTGTCTCAGCTCGATTGCTTTGGAAGCTGGTTCTTTTCATTTCACATCCTCGACAAGAGGATCTTCCGCTATCTTCAATAACTTATTCCGTCAAAAACATAGTACGTATGAGACTAAACTTTTGTTAGCGTTACTCACCTTTGGCAGTTCTTTCTATTTGAAAAACCGTGCACAGCAAGAGTCGTCTTATATCACATCACACAAACATCGCCCGAACTGTAACCAAAATAATAACGACGCATAAAAAATAATTGTCTTGTTGTGCAGAGTTGAGAATTAAGATAATGATGACAGACGTGCTCACGGCTTTGGTGTCAACAGCAATGTTGACAATTGGCGATTTTTATGAGATTCCATATCTTTATTTGCCATGGCTCGTCGATACCATCGAAGGACTAGCTTTCTGCGAAGCGCCAGCTATTTTTGGATTCGCGTATACCGTCTTGCCGGACGCAAACGTCTTCGCGGGAACGTTCATATTCTTTACGTTTCTTTTCTATGGTACGTATATGTTCATATAAAAAAGATACACATAATAATCAACATTTGCTAAACTCAGATTTGTAATGTGAATATTATTTTCTCATCAAAAATCATTTATTTACTCGCAATCGAATTTTTGATTTCTCAGTGGAAGAGCTGATTATTTGGAAGGACGTTTTCGTGAGGTTCAAACGTTGTTGGATAAATTACAACAAAATTAACAAAATGACTTCAACCTCGACGAATATGGCAAATAAAGAATCAGGCAATAAGGAAAATCTCAACGAGCAATCTTCAAGAAAGTTGGAAGACTTACAGGATTCCGCTGCTCCCGCCAACGTCAACAGTGATTGCTACTTTTGCGAGCCAGCTCTGAAAGTCATAAAAAACAATTTGTCAATCAAACATCACCGCAGCAAGAGCCTGTTCACAGAAACAACTGGATAACCTAATAAATCTAACACGCACGTCAACGTATTTTTATATTTTTTTTATTTGTATATGTTTTAACAATTAGTGGCTGCATCTACAGAAGCATAACCGCCCACTGAGCGATTAATTAGTAATTGTGATTGGTTTAAATTTAAAGAATCAATTACATTCGATTGCCACTTAACCGCTTGGCAAACGATTGTGCTTCTGGATGCAGCCATTTGCAACTATTGCAACGAAAAGATACAATAAAAGTTCAAAAACGTAAAAAACAAAGTTTAAGAATTTCACACACACCTGTGTATTCGTATTGCAATCTCTTCACTGTACACATTAAAAAAAAAACACTGGTACCTCGGCAGAAAAATGCCGATTTTTCTCGAAAGCACATAACATAATCGCGTGAATGTTTACCTTCAAATCTGCACAGCTTTCAATTTGACGGCCCCGTGCCAAAGACTCACGATCCACTTTGTTCTTTGTGACTGCACAAGCATAAACAAAAACAAAGGCGTTCAGATATAGGAATGAACAACATCTCGTGATTATCTTTAACGTAGGAATAATAATATCGATAATACCACTGTATATTGCGATATATCTGCGAAAACAATGCGAAAACAAACGCCTACTCTCGGATCTCGTAGCACTCATTCAATTTCATTTTACTTTAGTTATGGCGGCGTGAAAAGTACTGCGCGCGCATCCGCACTGCGCATGTTCTCGTTTGAAAATTACTGCCAACACGTGCGTAAAGCTAATACACATGTGTGTGAGTCCGGTTTTCATATATGCAAAAATTTTGGTTAAATTATTACTGTACTTAAAAAATCTATATAATATTGTAACTTAAACTTCTTAAATTTTCAATGTCACTAACAAATGCCGAACAGAGCCTACGAGTTGTATTATACATATATATGTATTATATTATATAAATTATAATTTGCAATTAAAGTACATACCTGACGGAATGTAAAAAAAAAAAAAAGAAAACGAAAGAATGTAGAAAAACGCAACTGGTAACAAAATATTATGGAAATACGCAAAATACGAACAAAATAAACGTAAAAATATTACAATGATTTTGTAATGTTGTTTTGTTACGTAATAAGATGCGCGGATGATAAAAAATAAGTACATGTTACTGAAGTATAATTTAGAAAGAGTGATCAGAGATCACGCAATTAACTCTAATGAAATTTCATCGATTTGTAATTGGCCACGTTCAGCAGACTGAGCAGATCAGTGAACGCTTAGTGATTCTTTAATATGATTGAATCTTGCCTTTAGATCTTCCCCTGGATCTAAGTGTAGAAACCAATCATATTGAAGAATCACTAAGCGCTCACTAATCTGTTCAGTCTGCTGAACATGGTCATTTTCATTTAATAAAAATTTTCATTTGTCGAACGTGTTGCGAGCGGCGCGAGTCGCGAAGAGAGAGAGAGAGAGAAATCTTTTGAACATCTGACTCGCGAGATGGCGCTGAAATCAGTATATGATTCTCGAGCTTCAGCGAGGTTATTGTACGTGTGCGAATTGGTGTGAACGAAATCGATTTCGACGAACTACGAGAATCATCGTGAAGACAAACTGACGTTCACGTGTGTTTTATCGTATAAAAATATTAGGTTAGTATTTTACGACTGTATATATTTTTTTTTGTAAATACTATTAGTCTACTTGCTGTAATGCATTTTTAATTAGTGCCAAACAGTCTTAACAAAAGGATTGAAAATACGTTAAACAAATCGTAAATCTCTTTATTTTTAATATGTGCCAAAACTCCCAAAACAGAGCTGAGTAAAAAAAAGCAAAATTAAATATTTATAAAATCTCTTCCACATTGTTGTCGATTTTATAACCTTTTTTTTTTAACTTGGAGATAATGCTCAGAAAAAAGAGGCACTTTGATTTTTAATCTCTGCACGTATCTTATTCGATTGTATTTAATTTTGTTTTCTTTCAGAATAATTTTTGTGTGTGGAATAATCTATTGTAAAAAGAAACGAACATGTCGGACGATCCAAGCTTGTACAGATTGGAAGGGACTGATGGAAATCAAGCTGGAGGTCTGGTCATTCGTAAGAAAGCTTCGGATCACACATTTAAAAAACCGTCTGTATTGGGTCTGGACAAGATTGCAGAGCGAAAAAGAAAGGAACAGTCGCAAGAACCTACTAGCTCCAAATACAAGAGAAGCGAGGACAGAGATAGAAAATATCGTACCTACGAAGAAGAAACTCCCACCCATACTGGTGGTGTTAATTCAGAAGCTCAGCGGCGATTAGAGTCGCGACTGAAGCGTCAAAGATTGAATGCTAATGACAGAAATGTTAGGGACAGTTACAGAAGTTACGACAAGGACAGAGACAGAAGAAGAGACAGGGACGGAGAGAGCCGTAGAGACAGTAGCGTACGACAAACGCCTAGGTTCAAGGACGAACCTCAGACACCAAAATTCCGCATGAAAGATCCCACTTCCAAGAGTAATTGGGACGATGACGAAGATGAAGAGCCGAAGCGATCGAGCTGGGATCATCCCACACCGAACATTTATAACAACAGAGATGGTCGTGACAGTGTAAGAAGCGAGTTTACTCCATCCTATAAGTATAATGTATGGAATAAAGACTTCAAGAACTCCGGTGCCACTCCGTCGATAGACGGAGAGGAAAAAGCACTCTGGGAAGAGGAACAGCAAAGATTGGACAGAGAGTGGTACGCGTTGGACGATGGAGAAACCAATGCTTTTGCCAATGTGTCAGAGGAATACACTCGGAAAAAAGAAATGGAGTTGGAAGCTCGAAGACAAAAGCGTCTTTCCGCACAACAGCGACAGATAAACAAGGACAACGAGTTATGGGAGCGGAATCGCATGCTAACGTCAGGAGTTGTCAGTTCCTTAGATCACGACGACGATCCCGACGATGAAGGAGAGGCGAGGGTTCACTTGTTGGTTCACAATGTTGTTCCTCCATTTCTAGACGGACGTATCGTGTTTACGAAGCAACCAGAACCAGTTGTTCCCGTGCGCGATCCAACGTCTGATATGGCACTGGTAGCGCGAAAAGGTTCCGCATTGGTAAAAGCTTATCGCGAGCAAAAAGAAAGACGTAGAGCGCAGAAGAAACACTGGGAACTGGCTGGAACGCACATCGGTAACATCATGGGTGTACACGATCGGCGTAAAGACGATAAAGAACATGCGGGACAAGAAACGGACTTCAAAGCTGGACAGAAATACGCTCGACACATAGGAGCTGGTGAAGTGACTGGAGAAGCGAAGTACAGATCCATTCAGCATCAGAGAAGAAGTCTTCCTGTGTTTGTCGTACGCCAGGAATTATTGAACATTATTCGAGAGAACAGTGTTGTTGTGATAGTGGGAGAAACCGGATCTGGAAAAACCACGCAATTAGTTCAATATCTTTATGAAGATGGCTACAGTCGAAATGGAATAATTGGTTGTACTCAGGTAATGATATATATAATAATAATACACAATTGATTGTCGCACACAAGTAACAATATAATAATAATATAATTGATTGTCATTTTTTTTAGCCCAGAAGAGTTGCTGCCATGTCCGTTGCGAAAAGAGTTTCTGACGAAATGGCCACTGCTTTGGGCGACAAGGTCGGATATGCGATACGTTTCGAAGATTGCACTTCAAAAGATGTACGTAACGATATGAATTTTTTTTTATAGTTCTCTATCTATTGTACGTAATATTAAAACTTATCATAATGTGTGTTTTACATCAATTGGTTCGCAAAAATTTTGAATACTAGAAATCGCGTATAATTATAAATAATAATTTAAAATATTGTTTTGTGGACACACCAAAATTTAAACTTTTGGTGTGTGTCCATGTTTTAATGACAATTAATTTTATTTTCACAGACGGTTATCAAATACATGACCGACGGTATTTTACTGAGAGAAAGTTTAAGGGAAGGAGATTTGGACCGTTACAGCGTGATTATCATGGACGAAGCTCATGAACGGTCGCTTTCGACTGATGTTTTATTTGGTCTCCTAAGAGAGGTAAAACTTAAGTTTTTAATCAAATTAAACTTAAATTATACAAACATTTTCCCTCAGATTTATATTCTAAGTGGGAATAATTTTCAGGTTGTTGCTAGACGTCATGATCTAAAGTTAATTGTAACTTCCGCAACAATGGATTGCAGCAAGTTCTCCGCTTTCTTTGGCAACGCAGCAACATTCCAAATACCTGGACGTACATTTCCCGTTGAAGTGATTCACGCGAAAAATCCGGTTGAAGATTATGTAGATGCAGCTGTGAAGCAAGTCTTGCAGATCCATTTGCAGCCGAAAAGCGGCGATGTCTTGGTCTTCATGCCTGGTCAAGAAGACATCGAAGTCACCTGCGAGGCTCTGAAAGAACGTTTGGCCGAAATCGAGTCGGCTCCACCTCTTTCTATATTACCGATCTATTCCCAATTGCCATCGGACTTACAGGCGAAGATCTTTCAGCGATCCGAGGGTGGTTTTCGCAAGTGCGTTGTAGCGACGAATATAGCGGAAACGTCATTAACAGTTGACGGAATTGTCTTCGTCGTCGATTCGGGATACTGCAAGCTAAAAGTGTACAATCCACGAATTGGCATGGACGCTTTGCAAGTTTATCCCGTGTCGAGAGCCAATGCCGATCAGAGACAAGGCAGAGCAGGCCGAACTGGTCCTGGTCAATGCTACAGATTATATACACGAAGACAGTATTTAGACGAATTATTACTGACAGGAGTTCCCGAAATACAACGTACGAACTTGGCCAATACCGTACTGTTGCTGAAATCGTTGGGAGTTCAAGACTTGTTAGCCTTCCACTTCATGGATCCACCGCCGCAAGATAACATACTGAACTCATTGTATCAATTGTGGATTTTGGGCGCTCTCGACCATACAGGACGCTTAACGCCGCTCGGACGTCAAATGGCCGAATTTCCTCTAGACCCGCCGCAATGTCAAATGCTTATAGTCGCCTCCCAACTTGGTTGCACGGCAGATATTCTCATCATCGTCTCCATGCTATCGGTTCCGTCTATTTTCTACAGACCGAAGGGACGCGAAGAAGATTCGGATTCGGCGCGCGAGAAGTTCCAAGTACCGGAATCAGATCATTTGACTTATCTGAATGTGTACAATCAGTGGAAGGCAAATGGCTATTCGACTTCCTGGTGCAACGATCATTTTATACACGCGAAGGCAATGCGCAAGGTGCGCGAAGTGCGCTCGCAGCTCGAGGAGATCTTGAAGCAACAGAAGATGGATGTCGTCAGCTGCGGCACTGACTGGGACATTGTGCGAAAGTGTATTTGTTCTGCTTACTTTCACCAAGCGGCGCGCTTGAAAGGCATCGGCGAATACGTCAACTGCCGTACCGGAATGCCGTGCCATCTTCATCCTACCTCCGCGCTGTTCGGTATGGGCTTCACGCCCGACTATGTCGTGTATCACGAGCTTGTAATGACCGCCAAAGAATACATGCAGTGCGTCACTGCTGTGGATGGTCACTGGTTGGCCGAGTTGGGTCCGATGTTTTTCAGTGTGAAAGAAACTGGTCGAAGTGGTCGCGCGAAGCGTCGGCAAGCGATGCAGCATCTCCACGAAATGGAACATCAAATGAAAGAAGCCGAGGAAGAGATGAAAGCGCGCGCTCAAGAACAGCTCGAACGCGAACAGGCGTCGGTTCGGAAGAAGGAAATTTTGACGCCCGGCATTAGAGAACCCGGCACTCCCGCCCCGTATCGCAACACTCCCGGGAGATTAGGATTGTAAACGGTTTTCTCACATGCAACATCTCATAGCATGATTGCGAAAGTGTTTAATTACCTGCTACAAAGAAAATACAGGTACATCGCTTGAAATATACGTAGATGAAAAAATACGACAATTCTTTGTCCTCTGATAACAATATCGCTGTCGTTTTCTTTTTTATTTTTTATGCACTTTTTCTTGTACAGAAATTAATTTTCGACAAATATACAATTTTTGACGTCTGCGAAACAACGTTAACGATAGCGACATTGTCTTTCAATATTTGTATGACGACATAGATTGACAGTGGATAAAATCCTATTATATTAAAAAATACTCTATTATATAAAATGACAGAAATAATACATAAATCTGAATAAATTCGTCAGATTTGCAGCATAAAAATTCTCAATCTTTGATTATTTATTTAAAAGGTTTGTTCCGTTTCTTTTTCCTTCAAATAAATTGAATTTTTACATAAACTTACTTTACTAGAGAGATATATTCTCTTAAGATTGCATTGTCTTCAGAAAATATAAAATTTGATTCGTTTTGATCCGATGGGATTGACTTGTATCATGTATATAACACATGTATGTATATATATCGTGTATATAAACAGTATAGATAATGTGTGTATGATCTTTTTGTAAATAAAAGTATTTTTATTATAATATCGAGACAAAAATTAGAGGACTTTAATGGATCCAGAGAGAAAGAGAAAGAGAAAATAGAGAGTATAATCGTTCACAACATTATGTACATGTCAATAAACAATCGTGTAATTACTTTTTTGCAATTACTATTAAATGATTTATAATCGAACAAGATAATTGTTTGATTTCACATCAAACTTTCGTTGATACGCAAACTATATAAGAATGAGATATCCACTAGTATATTACTATTTTTCAATGTTTTTTTTATGTGTTATTAATTTATAACTTTTCATAAATCGAGATTTTGTGCGCGTATGTGTACCGATATACATATAGTAATTACTTAAAAAAAAGAAATAAATAGAGTTAATAAAATACGTAAATCGACAGATGTTTATAAGTGTCGTAAAAATTCTATAAAGTTCCAGAGATTTGTGCGAATCGAAATTTTTATACTGCCAACTTACTCGAAGATATATCGTAAGCGTACAAGATTGCTCATGGTGTATAGTGTGTATATTAAAATAACTGCACAATATAATTTTCGACAAAGATGATGATAGGTATTTTAATCATCAGTAAATCCAGTCATTCATTCATCTGTATAATAATGAGGCTAAATTTTATGTACAGATTTATCAAGACATTTTTGAAAATCATAAAATAGACGGACAAAGATATACTTTATACAAGTATAAATTAGTCAAATAGTTTCAGCTCTTTAAATTACTTAGAAGCCTTAATATGGGCTGCGTGCGAGATTTGAGAGATCCGCAGCTTTGCTTGAGACTCGCTTGCCCACGTTGCTTAATAGCAACGTGAACATCGTCATCCTCGTCCAATCCTGTTTTTAACTCGTATTTCTGAAATTCTGTTAAAACCGCATCTAAATTTTCAACCTTTTCCGTTAGTATTACAGCCACTTCCTTCCAAGTCTGCAATAAGACAAAAAATAATTCGCTATGAAAAGTTGGATTATAACACACAGCGACTGAAAATAAGTTATCAAAATTTTATATCACTTTAATACGTGTCTTTCACATAAAGAAAAGACAAATTAATAAGTTCTGATGGTTTCGATTGTGTAGATTGTGCGATTATTCTGTGTAATAAAATTTTGACAGAAAGAAAATTATAAAATAATTTTACCTTGATCTCATTTATTACGTCCGATTCAATTTTATTGCATTTCTTTTTATTTTTCTTGTGCGAAATATGTGGTTGCGTTTGTACGGCGCACACGCTGCATATGGCGGTAATAATCGCTAAGGATTCACTGCAAGTTGAGGCTCTGAGTAAGAAGTTTTTGAATGAAACCGGCGTGTTCCGTTCGGGAATAGGTAGCGGTTGCAAACAAGGAGCTGTTCGCAGCATTTGAATGCAATCGAAGTCCGGGCAATGAGAGTGAGCAGCAAGTGATTTTGCAAGGCACGCTATAGTCTTTAATTGTTCGGAATAATAAGCTTCGCGCAATCTTTCCACAGCATCCAACGGAACCAACAGCTTGCACGGTTTATTCCGTTTCCCGTTTGTGTCGAATTTCTCTAAAGTTTTCGGGATAATTTCTTCAGCTAGTTCCTTCAATTCGGAAGATATTTGAGTAAGAAAAATAGAGGACGACTGGGCGCTCGCTGCCAAAATCCGTAGTATCGCGTTTCTCGCCGAGAGCAACTTTAACATACACAATCGTGTATCTTCCTGCATACGTGAGTCCGTCTCGTTTGGATCGATCGGTTCCCATCCGCGTACAACCTGTTGCACAACAATAATATATATATATACGTTATATTTTTCACGATAGAGAATTTGCACTTTAGATTTATTCGAATTATTTGTCTTACCTCCAGATCTCTATTGTCCCGAAGAGATGCCCATCTAATGGAATCGATGTGCGGATCTATATGCATACTATTCAAAGTAGAAAGCAAAGAAGTAGTGCTGTTACACCAACATAAATCAAGCAGCATTTTGTCCATCGTCGTCATAGCAAAGTGAAATGAATTTTCTAGGCGTTCTCTTAACTCAACGAATTCTTGAATTTTTATAAAACTCCCATATTTATACGCAAATGTTAAATGGTCGGCACTCTAAAAAACCAGAGAACAATCCATCTAATTATATTAATTCAAACAGTTCGAACGTGTAAGTCTTTTGAACTTATGCTTGAAAAACCTACATCTTTATAGCTAGCTATGAAAAATTTCGCTGTATGATCGAGAGTTGTCGAGGCCAGAAGCAAATTGCCGAGAGGCGCGAGAAGAGGTGCATGTAGGTGGCCCAGAGAATCTAATTGAAGGTGCTTTACGTCCAGCAATGCAAACGCGTGATCAGCCGCACCCACTAAACCAGCTTCCAAGTATATACGTACAAGCAAAATTTTGATATGAAAATTTACAGGACTCGATACGAGGCTGTGTTCCAATAACGACAACGCTCTGCAAATCCATTATTTTAAAGATGAATGTTTTTGAAAATATTTTTAACAATCTTTTATTTTAGCTTGTAGCAACATTACATAGTATATTATTACCTGTAAAGAAAAGATGCGTCACCAGTGTCAACCCACAACTGATGCAGAAGATGCGTAGCTAACAAAACGTACGGATCGGTTGGGGAAAAGTCAGTTTGCAGTCTGTCTTGCATTGGACACAGTTCGTTACCCTTCTTATATAAATCACATAGTCGCTGGACTAATTTTTCCTGTTTCTCTCTGTCCGCCAAAGGCGGATGATGGAAGCCAGAAATGCGTCGCAATTGTTCCAAGTGAATGTGTCTTTGTATTTGCTGTACAGTAACTGGAAACTCATCTTGTTTAACGCCAACGTCTGCCTCGAGCTGCACAAATGGTGTTATTAAACTAATATCAAGTTCCAATAGTTTTTTTTTTTTTATATCTTAATGTGATGTGCAAAGAAGTATGTTACATTATTTCACAAATCATCTGCAGATTGTATTGTTTCTTGATTGATTGTTTTTCTTACTTTTTCAAGGAGTTCCAGTTTGGCTTTTGGTGTAAGTATGTGAAGATACAATCGCAAATCGTTAACTACACAGCCTTTTTCTCCAAATTGCAAAAAATATTGACGCATAAAGTCCACAGATTGCAAACTGCACTGTGAATCCTCGCTGTCACGAATACGTTCCAATAAATCTAGACGAGCCAAGTACGGCGCCCGAATTTTCTTTTCAGATGTATTGATAATGTTGTTTAAAAAATCTAAACATTCTGTCGGTTTTTGAAACTTCAAAGCTGCCGAAAGATAATTTTGGTAAAATGCCCAATTGTCACTGCTGTGAAAATAAATATAAGATGTACATGTATTTGTATGTAAATATATAAAAAAAAAAAAACCAAAATGTAAAAAAAACTCAATTACAACTTGACTTACTTCTCTTTTATAAGTTCACGGTATGCATTCGCAGCTTCTGGAAAACGCTCCAGCTTTAATAAAATTGTAGCTTTTCGTTGTGGCACATACGAAAGATGAGAAGCTAATGGACTAGACAATATATTTAAAATTTCTTCATTTTTGTCTTGCAGTTCTAAAATCATTAAATAGAGCTGTACCTCTTGTTCTGCTTCCATCTTTCCTTCTCTCACTAATTTTAGAACCTAATTGCATAAACACAGAAATAATTTTCTCTTCGTATATTAATATGAAGATCTTATCAATACAAAAGTTCTTTTGCAACAAATATTTAAAATTTATATAGCTATAAGGTAAGCGCAACAATCTACAAACCATTCTTTCTGCCAGAGGCAAGATAACTCCTTTTGCTAATTTTTGATCCGCATGAATAGCCTGCATCACTGTACTCATTACAGCCCAGAAATAATACGGATTCTTAGGTTTTAGTTTATACAAAGTAAGAGCAGTTTGCTGTTGTTTTTTGTAATCACCAAGACGAACATACGACATGAAAAGATGCGTAAGAAGCTCCTCATTATTAGGATCCATTTTTGCGGCAGCTTCGTAAACTTCACTAATTTTGTCAGCTATATACAAATATAAATTAAGCAAAAAAAAGAAACATAATTGTGAATGTGCAAATTTTTCATGTGCAAATTGAAACAAATTGAAAGCTTACGTTGTCGTATCTCTCTGTAACAGATACTCATTGCCTGTAGTGTGGAATCCTCGCATGGCACCTCGGATCGTACTTTGTCGATGATAACTAGACATTCGTTCTCCTTGCCGAGACGTAACAAGGCCAAAGCCTTTAACACCCTGGCACATTGATTGGTGGGATGTTTCTTCAACACCTTGTCCGCCTCCTGAAGAGCCTTTTTATTGTTCCCGCTGTCCAGCCAGTCTGCAAATCAGGAGTAGCGCCAAAATAAAAATGTCGTTATATAACCTTATCACCCGATATCCTCCCGAAAGATCGAAATCTGACGAAAATTACGGCGAGTGTCGCGCCCGTACAAATTCCCATAAAAACACACGTACCGTAAATCGGACGTAAACGTCGTTCATTCACCGTGTTGTCCACATGGATTTTAGACGCCATGATACTTTATGATATAACATAAAATCAACAAACTAGAAATTCGAACAATCCGCGATCTCCTCGTCTCATCTTCGAGCTTGGCAAAGCTCGATTAATGAATTACTGAGACATTTTTACGTGCACTTTTTTTCACACGCCGAATAGCTTTCTGGGAGAGATCGTAACTATTGCACAGATATGTTTTTATTCTCGTTCCGATACATGCGTACGGGGAGATGACTCGCCGGGCCGGCTGTAAAGTCATGTAAAGCGATGTAAAGTATATAGGTACAGACCTTATATTTGGACGGAGCGAGTGGGAGAAAATGAAGTGCGGAAAGGACGAGATGGAAAATCTGATTGGTCGCGCCAATGATGTGACGCCATGTTACTGACACACTTCTTCTGATTAGCGTTTTCGCGAATATCTAGAGAGATTCTATTCCCGAAATATCTCCGTCTACTTGTTTTTTTCTTCTCTTCTAAATGGCACACTGGGAAAAAGAAAAAGATGACACACTTAAAGATGTACATTTCAAAAGCAATTATTAATTCGACCGATACACGCAGGTTGAATTGATCAATGACGTCATTTGACAAGTCCAACCAATCATATTGCTTGATTCTAATGACTCGAGTGACGTCATTGATTGACTCCAACTTGGTAAAACGCCGCAATAGATTTTTGCATAAAAGATAAGAGAACGGACCAATCGGAGTTTCTTCATTTCCATTCGCAAACTGTAAGTGAGAGATTCCGATTGGTTTGTTACGTTAGAGCTGGTCTACAATGAAGGTAGTAAAGGCTGTAGAGACTAAGGAGCAAATCATTTTTCGGTGAAGTAACAACTGGAATAACAAAAGGCGATTTTTGGCGATCGTATGGTACATGTACGAAAGTGTACCAAACTATAATTTGAAGTCACTCGAACTATAGTTTGGTACACTTTGGTATATGTACCATACGATCGCCAAAAATCGCCTAAAATAACAAAATTTCGCACTGCCTACTGCCTTACTGTTAGCTAATGAAAGACGTGTGTCAAAAAAAAGCAAAATAATTACTTGTATAGTTACAAAAATAAAATAACTCCAAGAATCTTACTCTTCTTGCTCTATAATGCCTGCTTTCATTGCAGACGGACCTTTATACAGATTTTACAGAAGTCTGGCTCACCGTTTTCGGTGCGCACGTGCGATAAAGGTCGCCCTCTACCTACCACAATCTGCCTTACCAAACCTAATCTAACCCTGCGTATATAAACATGAATCAAGAGTATCAGAAGCTACGTTCTGTTTTACGCACGTGTACGTGACGTGTACTATAGATAAAAAATGCGCGCGTATGCGCGTGAAACGGAACGCAGCCAGAGTTGTATTTCGCACGCAAATTCGGATTTATTCTGACAAACACTGACGAGGATACGAACGTCGAAATATCATCCACTTGTGTAATCATGTGGAACGAAAGCACTCAATCGGGTTTTGGAGGTGGCTTTTTGGATGACAGCACCGCGCAAGGAGGAGCCGCGAAAAAAGGATCAAGTAACGACAAGAGCATTGTTCCTGTGTTTATAAAGCACATCACGTCCACAACGGGAGACCTACAGATCGCCGGCAAGACTGTAAACACTCTGAAAATCGTGGGTATTGTGCGTCACATCGAACAGGATACGACCAAAATTTCTTTTACAATTGAGGATGACACAGGTTCTTTTTTCTTTCACACACACACACACACACGTGTAAACGCGATTATTTTACGCGGTATTGTCCGATAACCAGAGATAATCTTTTGTTGCGCAATTATTACATACAAAGACTTGTGTTGTAGTATTTTGAGAATTTTATGGCAACCCACTTTTGTGTTTTGTGTGATTGTAGATTCTATCACAGCTGTCATGTGGTTAGAAGCCGACAAGAACCCAGCGGAAACCAACTATCCAGAAGTAAACACATATGTACAACTTTACGGACTAATTCGTAATCAAAACAATCAACAACAGCTGCTGATTTTACGTATGTTCCCTTTGGAGGATCTGAACGAACTGACGTATCACTTCTTAGAAGTAATATATTTTATACTGAAAGCTTCCGAAAAATCTGGAGAATCTGAAACTGTTTCCAATGCGGTAATATCTGATTACGCTATGAGCGGTATGTCACCTGAACAAGTGGCAGTTCTCGAAATAGTCCGATCTGCAAACGATGCGGAATGTGGCATAGAAAAGCAGAACATTTTGAAGAAAGTGCCCAAACACATTGTTTCTCGCTTGGATGAAATTCTAGAATTTCTTCTTTGCGAAGGACATATTTACACAACTAGTTCGGAGGATGTCTTTAAAGCTACATAAGTTACGTATTGAAGAAACATGAAATATTGAGTTATCTAAAATCTATAGAATAAAATAAGATTAATATTACCTGTTTATAAAACACATATTTTTTTGTAAAACTTAAAAATATATTTTTCCATAAAAATACTCTAACTTATCTTACAATAACAAAGTACAAAACTAAAAGATGAGTGACATTTTTATGTCAAACGCAAGTCATTGTTAGTTGCAAGTCTAAAATAGTTTCTTATATTTTAAGATATATCAGTTCCAACGTTGCTAGTTTGGAAATAATAAGAGAAACAACAATTATTTGTGTTTTTCGAAGAAACAAACCAGAACTTGTTAAAATTTTTATTTTATCAAATTCTAAATAACTTAAGACTTTTCGATACCCAAGCATCTGCTTTGATATCGATCATCGCAAAAACCAATAGGCGTAAAAATCATGATATGTTTGCGTTGTTTTTAATTTTTGCATTTGGAATAAAATGGAAGAGCAGCTTTTATTGACACATTTTGTAACAAGCTTTGTTTATTCGTCAATATATCATTTATAAGACTGATTTACGACCTAGGTCGTTCTTTCTTTTCTTTGTACAAAGCGAGTAAAGAAACATTTGCCACTTTCACTACTTTAAATCGCACTCCTGGAATATCTCCTACGGCGTGACCTTTTCTACCAAATCCCGCCACTAATACTTCGTCGTTCTCTTCAATGTTGTTGAGACAACCGTCTCTTGGTACAAATGCCGTAATTTTCTTTCCATTTTTTATCAATTGTACCCTAACACACTTGCGAATAGCAGAGTTTGGCTGCTTGGCCTCTACTCCCCTACAAACAATACATTTGTGATAAAGATTTTAAAGTGACAAATTTATGTACACACACAGGTCAAATAGATTTATAAACATATGCATACACTTTTTCTAAAACAATGCCTTTGGCATGGGAGGCTCCGCCAAAAGGATTAGCCTTCCATCTTGTTCCCAAATGCGCTTTCTTGTAATCTTTATCATTCCATCGTTGTTCGCGTCTGTGGTTCACATGTTTTCGCGCCGTACGAAGACCACGTGGTTTACCTAAAGAAGAGAGATTTCATTATTGTTTTCGATTTCACAGTATGTAAATACCACAGAAAATGACAAAGCTATTAAATTGTTTACAAGTGTGCAATTGTTTGTAATCGTTTACGTTATAAATGCAAGCAAATGTGTTAAAACAAAGTTTTACATACCCATCTTGGACGCTTGTCTCGCAGTCAGTCACAGTGTGTCTTCACAATTTTCACATCCGAAAAGAATCTGTCAGTTTTAATTTTAAGCCTGTGTCAGAAAGTAGATTAGGGTTGGAATTTGAACTTCTTCTTGACCAATCAGAACAAGAGTCACTAAACTTGAGACTAGTTCTCTTTTATCCGATTGGTTACATTCAAATCCACAATTCTAATGTAATCTGATACAGGCTTAAAACAAGATTCTGTGTCACGAGAGGCAGCCCGATCACAAATATTATTAAATTAATTAAAACTTTTTAACAGCCAAATTACAAAATTGTGGTGCATCTAATGTGAGGAATTTGTATAAAGCTTTTGTAAAGATACGCCAAAATTTTGCGCGAAAATCGGAAAATTGAGAAAAATTGTACATGTGTACTTCAAAGTGCAGTTAATTGATGCAAGAGGAGTAAGAAGGATAAACAAATCGCGCGATCTTTTTTTTTCCCGAGATTATTCCGGTGCATTCTTAAAGGGACTCGACAGTTTTATTTGATTCTTGTGTTGTTTTATTGTTGTTAAATATTTTTTTCAAATGTGCGTGCGTGTAATTTGCTATTATGAATGACGCGAACGAGATTATGAAAAATATATACGACGCTCTGTTACACTTACGATATTCACATATTACGAATGCGGAATTGAAAGATGTAGAAACTACAGTTCTTTGTGGTGAAAATCGTGTCTGTTTGCTTTCCTGGCTTCTGACGGAAAAAGTGCCTTCTATTGCCGTTCATTTAAAAAAACTACAAGATGGTGTTTTGGAAGGTATTTCTTTTCTTTGATAATCTATCAAAATAAAAATCTTAATTATAATCGTTTTGTGTGTAAAATATTTTATTTGTAATCTTTTTCCATATTGTTATGCGTTATACATATTTTTTAATTGTATAAATCTTAAGAGATATTTTTTCTGTTACTTTAATCTCAAAAAGAAGCATGTGTTAAAACATATTCAAAATAAGACAAAGACTAAAAAAAACTCTTGTTTTATATATATTTTATTTTGTAACTAATTTACATTTATGTTGTTTTGCTTTTAGATAAATTGCTTGAATACTATTCTCAGATTGGACTTTGTTGCAGCAAAAATGTTTTATTGGTTTGTTTTTTTATATACATTAAAATTTCTTACACTTAGTTAATAATTTTTTTTATATGTATAATATGTATATAAAAGTTTAGTAAATTGTCACACATAAATAAAATAACATTTTTATATTATGTTATTATTAGCTAGTATTAAATAATAAGTTTATTCTAGGGTAAATGTTCCTTGAAAGAGCAATTGCCATTTTTAAGATTACTACTTGATTTTATGAGAAAAGTACATGTAGATCCTTATGTAAATACTAGTAAAACACAAGAAAAAACACTTACAGATATTATTAAGGTAAGATAAAAACTTATTATTATAAATATAAATACATTGCTAAGTTTCCTACAAAAGTATCCAATGTAATTAATTATTATGCAAATTTTATATTTAGCTATATATCAATGACACGGACCATGCTGTTGATAAACCAAAAGTAAGTTATACAGATGCTATTAAATATTTTAAAAAATATGAGAAAGAGACTGTGAGTAAGACTATCAAAGATGTTCAATCAAGTTTGTGTGAAGACGCGCATGTAGAGGTATGGCAGTATTGTATCAAAAGATAAAGTTGTATATATTACAAAACTAACAATTTAATTTCTCATATGTGATATATATGTACAAATATTGTAGAATGACAATGAATTAGTCCATACAGAACAAAATATGCAATTTGATAAGGAACAGGAAAAATTGATAGAAGCGTTTGAGACAGTTTCATCTTGGCCAGTACAAAAACGAAATATAGATGAAAATATTTCCGATTCCATTTGTTCAAACATTACAAGCATAAGTTCTGATTTTAACACTTTGAGACAGGTACAAAGATTTTGCTTTTATTGATAAAAAATTACTAAATAATACTACAACAATTTTACCAATAATTTTGTACAGGTGTTGCAAGCAAAAGATGAAATATCTAAAGTAAATTTAGGAACAGAATTTCAAAAAACTACTACACCCTTACATGCAATCATAGAAGATATAGTTATATATAATGAGAAACTTGATAATTTATTGACAGCCAATAATAGTGATTAATTTTATATATTTATATTCGTATTAGTTCTAAGTATATTTAAGCACTGTGTGTGTTCTAAACATTTGTAATTGCTTGTAATATATGTGAAGGATATGTTTCAATTTTACAATTTTACTATAAGAGAGAATAATTTTTTTAATTGGAGGAGAAACACTTTAATATGATAAGATTGAAATAAAAACAATTTTAACTTTGTTATTTATGTATATATAATTCTCTCTTTCTCACATTCACATTCTCTTTTTCTTTCTCTCATTCTTTGAGCCAAAAATTGAAAAATAATAGGTCTGTCTTTATTGCACTTTAAATACAGAACAAAGACAGAATGATGTTCAAAGCACGTGAGCGTCTAAGCGAATAAGTGGCAATCGAATGTGATTGGTTTTTACTTTACATCCAAACAAATCTCAATAAATTGCTACTTAGGCTGCTTAGACTAAGTTCCACTTGGCACTTGCAACTGTACACTGTGGATGCGTTCGTCTTGGCCACTTTTTCGCTAATAGCGTTCACGAACACCGTTTTTGTCGTTTCTTGGCACTTCGTAGCGCTACGGTGAAACTATGACATGATAATTTCTTAGCAAAAACATCACGAAGTCACGTTATCACGCGCTATCTCCAAATAGGATTGCGTTCGAAGAGCGCGCTATCAGCGCTGTTGCATCATTTTATCTTTATTGCTCATTAGATGTAAAACAAAGATAGAATGACGCAATAGCGCTGAAAGCGTACACCCCGAACGCAGCCTAGGTAGGTCCCCTATAGTGTAAGATATTGGCCAAGACGAACAACTAACGGCCGATTTCTTCATACCTCTCGATATATATAGCTATCTTCTGGATAAATTCCTCTGAGAACCAATAAGGAGAACCAATTTTGGGGGATATCTTCTAGATAAAGTTTTCGAAAACTTATCTAGAAGTGAAAAAATTGGCTGTAAGTTTCCAAATGTAGACAAACTTAACCTTATTTTAGAAAAGAATAGAAAGGAGATATTAAAACTCGTAATAGGAAAAATAACAATTAAGACTTATATATTTCTTGTAGGAAAAATAACGTTTCATATATATATATATATAATAGGTTTAGTAATATGTTCTCTATATGTTCTCTCTTTTGCTTCTAAATATCTTTTTGTTGAAAATTGTATTGAATACACGAGTACTAAGAAAGTAAAAGTGAGAACTAACAAATGAGAACAAAATGTTTCTTTGCTTAAAATAAAACAAAAATATTTATTATGTTTTCAGACAGCGAACTTGCGAAGCAAAACAAAAAATGTAGAAAGTTGGAGATTTCGCACTTGCAAAACAAATGGAAATCAATATAAATTTAAGTTGGAAAGAAAAAATGAAAATATATTGCACAAAATTCCTGTAATGAGGATGTTGGTAGTTTCGCTACTGCCGTGTTTAGCTTTTGGTATCGTTTTGCTAACCGGATGCTAATGTTTTTACGCTACAGTCCAAACAAACAAACGAAAGCGGTGTGTAAGAGCAATAGTGCTGGGTGCTTTCCAGCTACTGTGTTACACAGACGACACTGTGTAACACAGTATCTATTAGTGTAAGAAAGAGCATATCGGAGTGTCTAATTTACACTGGTGGACACTGTGTTACGCAATGTCGCTTGTATACGTAGCTGGAAAGGACTCGCTATAAGCGAAAAAAAGCGTGCAAGCCTAACGCATCTTGAGTTCAATGAGAAAAGAAAATTGGTCTGCGCAAAGGGGAAGAAAAGTGGGCCAAGTGGGGATAGCGTTGCGTGCGTGACACCCGCTGGCAGTCAAGCATGGCTGTGAAGTGGGGAGGTTTTCTGGTAGGAGAGATGCGCGAAACAGACGAGGTTTCGTTCGCTACGGACACTTTTTCTCTCTTGAACTCGGTGTACATCCAGGCTGCGGTCTGTTTCATGCTTTAATCGCGCATTTATCTGTAGTATATGTCACGTATACTATAGATAAATGTACGCTTAAGCATGAAACAGACCGCAACCCCAGAAGCACAATCGCTTACTGAGCGTTCAGTGAATACCCTAGATCTGTCTAAATGCAAATCTTGACCTCTCCCTAAAGCTGTGTTCCGATTCCCCACCTGAGCGCATTCGAATGTCATTTTATCTTTGTTTCATATCTGGTGAGTGATAAAGATAAAGTACATCCGGGTGAGGAATCGGAACATAGCCTAAGCTGTTTCAGTAAGCGATCGCCATTTTCGTGAGCGTAGTTTTTTTTTTGCATCGCTCACTCCTCTCACTTTACGACCTTTGGTGCTACTTTAACATCTGTAAAGGTTAGTAACTTAGTATAGTTTTTCTACTGTTGTTAATTTTTATTATCTTTTGATCAAAAAGTTAAAATAATTAACATATGAAGTAGTTAGATACTCTTCATATATGTATGTAGTTTTTGAAATACACTATCTAACCTAACCTAACCCTAACCTACAAAATATAACAAAAAACGTAAAAAGCAGAGGTGACGACCTGTGGACCACTAGGCTTCTTCTTCTACTCGGTAACTTGCTCACTGAACCACTGGAGTAAGGGAAGTAGTGGGGATCATGTGGCTCTTGACAGAAAAGTTCGTCACTCTTGACCTTGACTAAAGCCCGATTTCTTCATACATCCCGACAGCTATCTCTCTGGATAAAGATATACAAAAGAATATACTTTATCTTTTAGATAAAGTTATCGAGAACTTATCAGAGGTGAAGAAATTGGGCATAAAGCAAACAGTTTGATTACTGATATATCCAGTATACCAAGAAGCTCTTAGTGAGCGCTTGTTCTTCTGGATCCAGCCAAGGTCTTTGATAAAAAAAAAGTTACGTTCCTTTATTCACTGTAAATCTATAGTTGCTGTGACATATTATAGATTTTCAGTATTGGCAGTGAATTTCGGAACGTAGACTGATCTAAAATTATAGCGACATACGACATACACATTGTAGTCTCGATCTAAAATACTATAACAAAAACATGCGCATAGGAAATTGCTGCAGTAGCGCATTCTAGAATCTAACCTAAACCTAAACCTAAACCATCTAACCTAACCTAACCTAACCCTAATCTAACTTGTAATTAATCTAACCTAACCTAACCCTAATCTAACTTGTAATTAATCTAACCTTACCTTATCCTTATCTTACTAACACAATTCTAATTTCTGACTTAACCTAACATAACCTAATCCTAATCTAATCTAATCTAATCTTTGTACATTACGACTGAAGATGACATCTGTGAATGTCGAAACGTTTCGTATTAGATACTATGTTAATATTAATTGAACTTTTAATATTTCATAACTTCATCTTATTTGCTCGATACTGACCTCACATTGCGATACATTAATTTTGTTTTTACAATACGAGCGAGTTTATTATCTTTTGCTAATCTAATCTAATCTATACTCACAGACTAACCTTAATCTAACCTAACCTAACTTAACCTAATCCCTAATCTTATCTAACCTCACCTTATCTCATCTGTTAAGGTTGATTCAAATTGGGTTTTAGGAACACGATCTTTCTGAGAAATCCACCAATCATGTGCTTCGTCTGTTTGAATAAATCCTTTAGGAACGCTTGCTTGTACGCTGACTTCAATGAGAGAAAAGAATCGGTCTGCGCATAGGGGAGGAAAAGCGGGTCAAGTGGGGGAGTAACGTTGCGCGCGTGACACCCGCTGGCAGCCAATGACTGTGGAGTGGGAGGGGCTTTCTGGTAGGAGATGTGCGCGTAACGGACAAAGTTTCGTTCACTCCGGTTCTCTTTTCTCACTGAACTCGGTGTAGAATTTGTAGTTTTTCTCCCTTCAAATGATTTTGTGCCGCATTGCCATTTTATTAGCTCAAACGTCCCTAACGACTGACCAATAACATTATTTATTCATTAGTAATATTTTCATTTTAAAGCTTGTGTTATTGGGGATCAGAAGTACCGTCAAAATACCTTTATCGGCAATAACGGATTTTATTCCTGGCCATCAGTAGAGCGATACTAAAGGTGCATTTCAACCTAGTTACCAAGTATCGTCGTGACTTGTGTGTACCAATTGTTTCCCGAAGTAGACTCTTGTACTACATTTGCAATCATATCTTCCCACCGAATTACTCATGATATCAACAAAAGTATACAAACAAGGCAAGTAGTAACAACCAGCAGCACGTTCATCGAGAACCGGATTCGCCGTTCGTGCTCGATAAGTTCCTATTTCCAAGAAACACCAAACATGTGCTTACGCGCGCGTACAGCTCATCTCCGACACGGCGAATCTCGTAAATTGCACGGAAGTGTCGATAAAAAATTGTCAAGTTTTTTTCTATCGGATAAGAAACTCGATTATGATTGTCTTCGAAATTTGTGCAAATGGCTATTTGTCAAATTTACGTTAGTGATTGATGGAAATTGTTTGGTATTGTCAATATGTTATTGTTTGACAGGAGGTTGTTCGAGGTAGTTCGTGAGACGGTAAGGTGGCGGGAATTTACTGAAATAGAATGGAAACTGAGATCATCTGTCTTTCCTCCGACGGCGAGGAAGACTCGCAGAAGGTTTAGTATGAAATGTTTAAATTTATATAGAAATACATTGAATTATTATGTAAATATATGCATATAACTGTTAAAAATCTTTTGAGGTAGGTAACATGCAATAATAATAAATTTGTCATAAAAAATATAATAAATTTATCATAAAAAATATAATACATTTGTCATAAAACGATTGAGTCAACTCTTCATAATGTCAATAAGATTTGTGTATTTGTGTTTTGATGAGTCACAGTATCAACTGTTCTTTCTTCTTCTGATATAATCTAACTTTTGATTTTTTAACCTTAGACTATCTGACTTGTGTTTTGCTTTTTTATGATAAGAAATCATAATCTTATCTACAAACCTGCATTTCTTTGCATCCTTTAAAACTACCAAGTGTTTGTTAAATATATCTTGCTTGATATATTAAACAATATTGTACAAAATTTACCTTTTTTAAACTCAAGTACTTTTATTTTAATAAAAGAAATTATTATTGCAGGAAAACAAAAAGAAAGAATGTATAACAAATTCTATGGAAGTAACCACTTTTTCTGATGAAAAAGTAGAAGTTATATGTAACGATGATGATGAGAAAATAGAAGGACCTAGTTTGAAACGGAAAGCATTTGAGATAAATGAGAACAAAGAGAGTTGTAATGTAGAAAAGAAACAAAAGTTAAGTGCAAAAAAGAAAATACCTATGGTAATAATTAAACCCATATCTGAATTATTTCCCATGATCATCTCAGATAATAAGAAAACTAGTCCTCCTGTGGAATGTGATAAAGATGATGATAAAAAACCAAAACTAATCATAAAAGAAAAAAAATCAATTTCATACATAAAACATGATATCTTTCCTCTATTTTTAAGTTTATGTTTGCAAAAGTGTCCACGGAATGAAAAGAAGGACATGGATAAGATCATAGATAAATTGAAAAGACGTTATGAACAATTAGATTTAACTTATGCTAGTTCAGAAAAATTTGCTTCATTTTTAAGTGAAAAACGGGAAGCTATTGAGAGAGATGACAACAGAAAAATATATGTGTATATACAAGAAGTGATGAATGAAATGAAAAAAAGCATTAAAAAGAAATCGTCATCTTGGGTTACTGAATCCTATGATGCAGTGCCTTCTACCTCCTACATTACAAATAATGACTCAGTTAATGATGTAACAGAGTTGGATTATGAGGATGACGAAGAGAGTATGAATTCAACTATGAGTCGAAAAAGGGAACTGTTAAAAACTATGTCAAGGTGTGAAGCAAGAATTAAAGAATTGGAAAATGCAGAAGTCGACTTTGATGAAGATTACGATAGCACTTACATAAAACTTGAGCGATATAAAGAGAGAATGGTAGACCTGTATGCTAAGCTTTGTGAAATAACAGGGGACAATGCGGATGCTGAACGTGCATACCTGCGTCCAAAACATATAAGCACAACTGGAATTGTTGTTGTAGATCAAGCAATAACAAACTTTATTAATCAAAAAATTACTCAACGAAATCAGAAGAAGAAGAAGAAATACAAGACTGGAGCGGAAAAAATAATATTTCCTGATTGCAGGGATATTGTGGAGTGTATTAATCACTGTAATGAAAAACAAAACTTGGGATTGGAGAAGAGAAAAATAGAACAGATGGGTAAAATATATGCGTACTTTCGATATTATATTACGAACGCCTGTTTATGTATATTTGTTTAATTGATTAAATTTTTACATTTTATTGCAGCAAAAAAAGCCTTTAAAGAAATAGGAGAACATTTGCAACGAATTAGACGCAATGATTATTGGGATACGTTTTCATTATATCTCGAAAATACAGAAGAAGATCCGGCTACAAAGAATGAGGAATTAGCTAAGAAACTATCGGAAAATCGTGTTGAGGGTGAAAAAAAATTATCCGCAGTTTTTGAGAAATATTCAAGAAAACAAGAGGAAATGAAGGAGGAAATTATTCAAGATGATGATAGTATAGCTTCGGATGAGGAAGACGAAAGTGTTTTAGACGAGGAGCTTGAGAAAGATGAGCTATCTGAAATTGGTTCAGATCTTGAGAATAACAGTAGTGAAGAACCAGATGTAGAAACAGATAAAATCGGATTAAAAGACAATGAAAATGGTGTGACAAATGTCGATGAAGATATGAATGAGAATACTCCAAGTGACGTGGTATCTATATCACAAGATGTACATGAAGATGTTCCAAACAACATTGCTATAAATACGATACAAAAGGATACTATTAAAAGGGTTAAAATAATTTCTGTGGAAGAGAGTGATGTAGTAGTCTCAAAAGTAGGAAATAAAACTATCCTTAGGATTCAAAAACCATGTACTAGCGATGTTGGCGAAAAAATACAAGAAGTCCCTTTAACAACGGTTTCTACAACAGATCGTACAAATAATATTACTAAGACTGAAGGTTTGTTAATTTAAACCACAGGCCTGCTCACGTGAGCCACGCTGAGTTAACATAGAAAGAGATAAATCTTTAAGCGCCGGCTCACAAGCAAGGCGGAAGTTCTTTCATCGTTCCGTTTTGCGTGAGTTGAGCAGGCCTGATTTTAATAAAAAATAAGAGAAATTTACATTTGTATTTTATAGAAGTAATTTTTATATGTGTGTATGTGTTGTAGAAGATCCAAATTGCGTGGAAGTAATAATGGATACTGCAATACAGGATACAGATGTGATCAATAAGAACACACAGGTAACAAAAGAGAACGTGAAAGAGACAACAGAGGATGTGGCAGAGATAGAAAATGAGATAGTAACAAGTGAAGAGAGAGAAATAGTAACGCAAGAAGTGACAGATGTAGCGATCGAAAATGTGCCGAGTAATCAGCAAGCGGAGGAAGAAAAAATTCCTCTATTGCGAGTTCGTTCCTTCGCTAAACCCCCTACAACTTGGGAAGACAACACCAAGCAAAAAGCGGACAAGACTGTCGAAAAAAATGTAGAAAAAAAGATAGAAAAGGAAAAAGAGGTAATTGATTTGACAAACGAGACACCGTCTAAACCCGTAGCCTCTAAGTGTACCATCAAAGTCGGAAATAAAGTGCTTCCCCTGATAAAAAGTCAGACGGTGCTCATTCCGGCCGGTAACAAGAACATTATCAGTGTTCAGAACATTACAAACAATTATCTGAAGTTGAACTCACGAACGGGACAGATCATAACACCTGTGCGCGATATTCAATCGATAATTTTGCCGTCCGTTCAGACCAATAGTTTACAGAACCAGCCGCAAAACTCAAATGCGGGAATATGTAGGTATCGAATTATTCAACCGAAGCCGATTTCTGTAGGGAAGAAACCAACGGCGCAGCCCGCCGTCAAGCCAACAGATGTGCGTTCAGCCAACACGAAAAAACCTAAATGACTCGAACATGCGATTGCTGTTGTTCATTTAGATCATTGTTATGCGAAAACCGAATCGGAATAAACATTCTTTTCAATATTTAAATGTATTTATATGACATATAAGTAAGTAAATTTAATACCAAAAATATTAACATACATTTCAATATGTAATTGTTTACAAGTTTTGTTGACATATTTAACAATCAGATTAAATCACACGGTTTTTAGATTCTCTATAAGAAACAAATACACTTTCTTATTCTCAATGAAGAACAAAATGCCACTAGTATATTAAAAAACAAAAAAAAAAACAAAAAAAAAAGAAGAAAAGAAAAAAAAAACTTTTTTAAGTAACATATATCACTTTATAAAAAAATACTTTTTTTCAATTTTGTATTACTAATGCGTGTGATGAATATTCACATCGGAGGAAAGACATTGCAATATTAATTTAGACAGATGATAATTTCGATCCAAAAGATTTTCTACTATGTCAAAATGATCGATGTTATCACGAAGTAGGAGATACTCCACGTTGTCCACGATGGAGATAAGTTTCTGAAAAGCATTATCATTGCTTGTATAAATTATGGAATATAGTTACATGTATATATATATATATATATATATATATGTTGAACAATATTTTAAGTAAAATATAGTTACGTACCTGCGCGTATTCGTGGGACTCGTTCACAAATACTGGAGAATCACGTTCTCCTACGGTTACGACAACCTTCAAACCGCTAATGTGACGATCTTTTGTTTCATTGAGAGTAGAAAAACTGAATTTCTCAATTTCCTCACTCAAAAAACAAAATCGAATTTAATAATACATATGTGTTCGACTACAGATTTAACAGTAATGAAACAATTATAACGATATATTACTCAGTAAGTTTTAACGCTGTCGCGTAGCTGGTATCGACGATAGGTTTTATATTGTAAATTCCGCCGATCAATAGGATTTCTTTTAATAACACAAAATATCCTTGCTGTGTCATGCGTGCGATCCAAGCGTCGTCGTGTAGCAAGGCTGCGGCCAAATGAGCCCCGGCACTATGTCCAGCGATACATACGCGTCTGTGTATTGTACATATAAGTATACAAATATATAAATGTATTCACACAAAAATGTAGTTAGGATAAATGTATTTTTTGAAGAGATTGTTACGCATCTATATATATAT